AAAATCTACCGAGCCGTTTTCTTGTAATTAACTGTTAAAAAAAAATTAAGCCGTTTTTCATGGAACTTTTTTTGGCGATATACATCATGGTCTTATAGAACTTACTGTAATATTACGGCCTTACAACAAGTAGTTTAATTTTGAAAATTCGTCAAACTTTGCTAAAATTATTATCGTTTTTTTTTAAAGTAGGATTGATGAAGCATATTATTTACACATTTTTTTGATCAAGTCGATTATTTACACATATCGGGAAGTTCATGTAATTTGCCTCAAGGCTAAATACCAAACCAACTAGTTAACTTCCCGTAGGGTAAGTTATAGTAATCGCAAAAAAATCGAAAATGAAAATTTTTATATATCTTTACGTTTCAAAGGTTTCTGAACATTTTGGCATACCTTAGAAAAAATGGATGTATGTGTGTGTGTGTGTGTGTGTGTGTGTGTGTGTGTGTGTATGTACGTGTGTGTATGTATGTGCGGATACAAATTTTCGTCGACGATTTCGGGAACACGGATCAACCGATTTGAATAATTCAAAAAGCATTCGATTTGTATTGATAAGGAGACGTGCTGATTAGTTTTTGGCGGAGGCAGGTCTAGCCGTTCCGAAGATACGGGGCAAAAAGTGCCGAAAACGGTAACTCAGTTTTTAAGAGAACGGAGCGTCCGATTTGAATAATTCAAAAACATTTCACTTGTATTGACAAGATGAAGAATCGATAAAATTTTCATGAAGGTAGGTCTAGCGGTTTCGGAGATATGGAGGAAAAAGTAAAAAAATGAGCCATTTGGCGGTCAAAAATGATCATTAGACATATGCACATCAACTTATCAGATATTTTATAGAGATTTTAACAATAAGTATACATTTTGTTAACATTTCTATGGGTTCCGTACCAATGTTTACCGGTTAGAGAGCGACGCTGCGCTTACGCGCTTTATATTTTGTCCCTATGCAGTTAAAGTAGTACGATTGCTTTGAAAAAAAGTTCAGATCTTCCACAATATGTCAAAATAAAGAAAAAAAATTTTTTTTCAAAAAAAAAAATTATTATTATTTTTTTTTTTTTTAATTTTTTTTTCCAAAAAAAGTAATTTTTTGTCCAATTTATAATTTCTCAAAAATCTTATTTTTTTTCAAAGTAAATTTTTTTCAAAAATGTTAATCGTTTTTAAAAAAATAATAATTTTTGTTACGGGAAGTTCCTGCAATTTGCCTTAAGGCACGATGCCTTAATTGCCTTAAGACAAAATTCCACTTACAGCTAGTTTAAAATAAATCTGTGAATTTTTCCGACATTTGTGACATTTTTCATATTTTCCCTGGGATGGAATTCGACGCGTGCAAATGTCGCTCTTTACAAAATGTCAATTCGAATGGAAGAAATATAATACTAAAAAGTGATATTTGTCTCCGACAACGGAATGTAAAACATTAGAGAAATGACAGAGGCGATTTTATTTTTATGCAACAAGGGACATTTCTAAAGATGAGTGACATGAAAAATTTATAAAATTCTGATCGTCAAAGTTTTCTCACAAATAGCTGCATTAATTTCAAAAATTTATAAGACATTCGATGGAACTGGATAAGATCAGTTTTGTGCTACTATCGGCCGAGCCGTTTCTTTATTTTAGCAGAAAAGTGTAGAATAATTCACTCATAATAAATCCTAAGCTGATTTTGAAAATTCAAAAAGTATTTGAATAGACATCAGTTAGAAATCCTGTTGATTAGGTTTTGGCAAAGATACATCGGGCCATTTCTCATAATTGATTGTGAATTTTTTTTCGACAATGTCAATGAAATTTTGTATGACAATTACATACATTCATTCATTTTTTCTAAGGTGTGCCAAAATGTTCAGAAATTTCTGAAACGCAAAGATATATATAAAAAAGAGTGGACGCAAGGTTCACACGCGATTGAAGTAAAACTTATTTGCTATTGTACAAGATGGCATTTAAGTAAAAATAAATACATCATATAACAATTTTGAATAATGTTTATTAGTAAAATTTATACTTCAAATATGACATGATCGGTTTGTCATTGTAATTAGCATTTAGAAATGAATCTTCAATAGAGAAATGAAGTAATTGCTGATTAATAACTTCTATAATATTCGTTCACACAATGGATTATGTTAAACAACGCCTAAACAAATATTGTTTTCACAATTTCACTCATCATCATATAATATTAGTGTTTGAGGAACTTCATGTAATTAAAATTAACATACATTCATTGACTGCCTGTATTTTTTTTACTTTTTCGTTGGCGATATAATCCCATTCTTTGAGCAACTGTAATTATTATTATATTTTCCATTTTAATGACTTCAAAGATTTATAGAAACTACGAATAAAATAGAAATAATTTATTATCAATAAATTTAATTTATAATCAATAAACTTACGTTTAGTACACGACACAAATGTTTAATTTATTTTCTTATTTTCAAAGAACAGGGTAAAATATTCTTCTGATTCAGGCATTTTTTCATTAAATCAATATTTGTACTACGATGTAATTTTAAAATGTTTATTTATCTATCTATGTGGATTTCCTGTGGTGTAAGGGTATACATTTTCTTTGAACTAGTAAAATGTGTGAAATCATTAATGTGTAATAGATATATCCCCTAACACAAAATTCCACCATATTTTACCGTTTTCCTGTGAATTCCAGTTTTCTCTGTTGTGTAAAATCGGAAAATCGTTTGCATAATATTCAGAGGGAAACAATTTACGACATGTGAAACATATGAAAACGCGCGTAACGAGGCGCTTTCGCATTTGTCAACTATTATCGCAGAAATATTATACAAATACATAATACATATGTATACATTGTAGATGGACTCTCAAATACATACCACTAGGATATACATACATATATTATTTTCTACATATATGTATTTTGTGCTTGTTTGCTCTTTTCCGAGTGACAGCATATGCAAAACTTCACATGAAAATTTTCCCGCTCGACGGCAGAGAAAATTATATTCAAAATGGGGATTATAATAGATACGTGCGTTGACAATATTATTAAGAGGAAATTATTATACATGTGTCCGATAACAGTAATAATGAATTTTCGATTATAAAAATATATTGCACAATAATAATTTATAAGGTGATAGATATAAATTCAATTTGTTTGTATCACTTGCTCTAGAATTGGTTTCAGTAGAATTGTAGACCTTTGTCATTTAGGGACCAATTCTCGCATAAAATAAAAATTATGGTTCTATCTTCGTATGAGTTGGTAGTAACAGACTGAAAATCCAAAAAACAATCGAGACAGCAATTATCATTTTATTTTAGTATATGTATGTATATATATATATATATATATATATATACACAAGTCGTAATGTAATATGTAAGGAATATGAAGCATTTAGAGTGAAGATAATGCAATTTTATGCATCTTGCAGAAAATCCTTTGTCGGCAAAATAAGAGATTTCCTTCCTTTGAGAGAAATTCAAATTCAGAGAGAGTAGAGAGAATTTCTAATATTCGTTTAAGACTGACTAAAAGCACATACATATTGTCTTATGTGAGGCACCCTCATGTAATGACATATACATTGAATTAGGGATGTTTATATACGTACACATACATATGTATATATATACACATATACATTTATATATATATATATATATATATTTATTTATATTATTACATTTATTTTATTATATATACATTTATATGTATGGAAAGCAACATGTTTCATATTTACATGTGTCGTTTCAACGCACATATGAATAAATCAAACACGATAAAAAATCATTATTTTTATATGCAATATTACTATTGTTATTACCTTACTGAAATAAAAGCTTATATCAGATTTGTTATTTTTTGTTTCCTCGACGTTCCAAGTCATTCTGAATCGCTTGAGACCAATTTTAGAAAAATTGTAAGTGTGTGAGTGATAAAATGACTTTTTTTTGAAATTTTATTATGTATGCACCGAAGTTATACATTGAAAAACAATTCGATGTAATTCGGTTAGGACAATGACACCGTTAATTAGATTTTATACCCATAATGCAACATGCCACTTACACCTAGTCTTATTCATCCATAATTATTGCTTGCACTTTCCATGGTAAAAAATTAGCTATTATAAAAATGATGTCTGATTAAGATATTTAAATTTGAGAGTTCCAAATAAGTACAACATACCTATACAAATACTAAATCTCAAAACGAATGATGATATAAGGTTTATGAATAATATTTTTTTTCAATTATAAATTATAAATTAAATTAAATTATTAATAATAAATCCTAATACTCACAGATGCTTCTGAGGCGCGGAGTACCCTGCAAAAAAAAAAAAAATAATTAGTATAGTATATATAATAAACTATATTATATACTAATACTAATTATTATTTTTTTAGCGAAAATAATTCATATTTTATTTTTAATTCTGACTAAAGTTCTAATATACTTTAAACAAATAATTTCAACTTTGCAATTCAGTTTATATAATTCTCATAAATATTAGACAATGTTACAATATTTATAATAATCTATTTGAAAACATTGAATATTCCTCGAACATTTCGTTACGGTACGGGAAGTTCCAGCAATTTGCCTTAAGGCACGATGCCATACACCCCACTAGTTCTAATTATAATAATAACTAGAAACTATGTCCCAAATTTGTGTGTACAACTTTGCTTCCGCCGTTTTTACGATACGAATTCCTTACAATAAAGGTGGAAGCAAAGTTGTATGTTTGAAAATGCGTTTTTAAGTATACCGAGTAGCTGTAGAGCATAATGATGTTAGAAAGCATTGTTAATAATTTAATTTTGAACTTTACCGAATACATACTTTAAATCGAAAGAATAGTTTAGAAGTTACAAGCAATAAAGTAAAAATGAATAAGAATGAATGAAATGAATTTAATTACTTAATATTCTATATACGTTATTATATAAACTATAAAATATAGTTAATTATTTTTTAGCTTCGGTGGCTCGAGTGATAAAGTACCAGCAAACGTATGGAACGCCCCTGCTGACCGTTGGGGGGCTCACCTTTGATTTTTCCGAAAAGAAAACCGAATGTAAGGACGAATACTATATGCTGGTCAGGACCGGAACAGTCGGATTCAGGGACTACGCCTTTTTTGTCATGGACTTAATGAAAAGGTAAGAGTAATAGAAATATATATAGGTAATTTACCACAATTTTTATATATTTAATATAAATTATTTCATTATTATTTCTATAATTCTAGGTATAATTGGAGAAAAGTCCTGGCGATCTACGAGGTGGCTGGCCAGTCCCACGTGGCTGGCAAACACACCTGCCACCTGATGATGAAAACTCTTGTCGAATACCTGAAGAAGGACACGAACCTGACTTTTAGCGCCTGGGACACTTCCCAGAACGCGCACAACACTATTAAGGAAAATTTGAAAATCGAAATGGGAATGTCTTACACAGGTAAGGTAATTGATAAGTTTGTATTTGGATGTTTTTGAAATACGGTGGAAAACTTATTTATCCGGGATTCGAGCCGAGTTGAGAATTTTCACCGTGAGATGTCCGTGGTGTTTGGGGTTTTCCAAGCGCTTTTCCTTGGGTTCATAGATTCGATAAATTTGAATCTTGAGTGGTGCTATTTATTGCATTATCCTATTATTTAAACATTATTATTATTGTAAATGTTTTTTACAAATACCCATTCGATTCAAATGGCGTTATTTTTGTTTAAAATATCATTTGCATTTATTTAATACTGAGAAATTTGAGAATCTTATATTAAGGTAAATCATACGTCCTGGATTTCCACTTTTCGTTCCAGATATTTCTATAAGCGATATTTATTCTCTTTTTATTATGTGGAATTATTTATACAAATTTTGATCTTAGAATTTTTTACGATTTTAGAATTGGATAACACGTTATTCACATATTATTTATACATAATTATTATTGGTAATTTTGTTGCTAAGATTATTAAGTTGGCCGGAACAATCCCGGATTTGAACCTACCGTTCCGGATTTAGGTTTTTTCAGCAATTTATATTCCGGATTGTTTAAATAATATCTGTTCTTGATTTAGGTTTTTGACCAATATCTGGCGATTTAGGATTATCAGCATTATATGTATATGTTTTCTGGTAAAATACATATCGAATTTAGGTTTTTCAACAATATCCGTTCAGGATTCAAGTTTTTTGGCACGATCTATCCCGGATTCATGTTTTATGTCACAATCTATCCAGGATTTGTGATTTTCAGCAAGATATTCCACTGATTCAGGTTTTTGACCAATATCTGACTCCGATTCAGTTTTTTCAGAAATGTCTGTCTCTAATTCAAGTTTTTTTTTAGCAATATTTGTCCAGGATTCAGTTATTTTAGCTATATCTATCTTGGATTTAAATTTGTTTTAGTAATATCAGTCTTGGATTCAGTTTTTTCAACATCTGTGCTAGATTCAGGATTTTCAGCCAAATATATTCCGGATTCAGGTTTTTTCAGGATTTTCAGCCTAATATATCCCGGAGTCAGGTTTCTTCACCATCATCTGTCCCAGAATTACGGTTTTCGGTAACATCTATTTTTGATTAAGGTTTTTCTGTAACATTTGTCCCGGATTTAAGGTTCCCGTCTCAGATTGCCCCAATTTTTGAAAAGGTTCTTATTCTAAATATTTATTTTTAATCTTTTACAACTAGAATTATTTTTAAAACATTCTAGCACAAACTTTTGCACATATATTATTTTAAATATATAAATTCAAATATCGATTTATCCAAAATATCAACATACCCAAATAGATAATTTGTTGACAAAATGTCTATTAAAGTTCACGCGACTGTGATGGCGACATCAAAGCTAGATTTTCCAATACAATTTTCAATCTATCGGAAATGTAAAATTAATATTTTGCACGTGGAACGAATCAATCAACGGAATCCAAATTTAGATGAAAATGTAAATAATATAAATATGTTTATGTAAAGAATAAATATCATCGGAATAAATATCAATTGAAGAGATGAAAGGATGAAATTGTATTTTGGAATCGTTCGATTAATAGAAGTTATACATTTTGGGAAAAATGTACAAAAATGATTAATTTGTATCTACAGACGAGCTAATTTTTATGATATAAATTGAAAAATATTACATGAATTATACATATTGCTTATTATATATATATACAAGGTGTCCCAGAACTCAACGGAGTGATAGTATTGACAGTAACTATCTTGCAAAAAATTAGAACAAAAAAATCTCACGTTGTTTGGAAATTATGAGCTTTTTAAGTGCAGTAAATTGTGATCGTTGTGGTTAATTTTTATGAAATTTGTTCATTGATCTTTGTTGAACTATGAATTAAAAATTTTTAAATTCGGTCGAATTTGAGAAACCCTCATTTAAAATAAAAATTACAAAAGTGTGTTGATGTTTTATCAAAAGTTGGCACATTTAATCAGGATTATAAAATGGTAAAATACTTGATGGTTTCACATAGAAAAATTTTGAGTTAAATTCACAGTTACAGCCAATATTATAACCTCGTTTTGAGTGGTCGTTGAGTTCTGGGACACCCTGCATACAAAGGTCTTTTAGAATATCTTTGGTACTAAATCAACTCTTAGACAACCACCTGTTCACCTGAATAACTCCTGTATTTGTTCTGACCCAAAAGTTAAATCTCACAGGTTCAAGTTTATATTAAAATACATGGTAATTAACAAAGCTATGAAACGAACATATATAGGTACACACACACATACATACATACGAATATATATATATACTAGCCGGCCCCTGACAATCGTCCTCCAGACTCGTTCACAAATCAAAAATTCAAATTTTTTAATGTGCTATATTTTGATATGTCTTTTTTAATGCTTTTGTTACACACGTACAGAATTTAATTTTTGTAAGTTTGACCGATTAAAAACTTGGTAATTAAAAATTTCTATATCGTCTATCATTCCGTTTAGAAACTTCTAAATTGCAACAATCAGAGACTTACACAATATATGTTATTTCTATTAAGATCTCATCTGAGACTTCTAAATTTTTCTTAATAATATTATATCGTTTCTGAGTTTCATTGAATGTTTAGCATATTATCACACATTGTGTTGTTTTGTATGTGGATTTATTAGTGTACTGTATATAGTATGCTAATAAATAATTCATAAAATCAAAACGCGTTTTAGTTTAGAACACAAACACTCTATTGTATTTCGTTTGTGCAATCAAAGTTGAATCAAATACAATTTGGTGGTGCACATGAACCGAGATTTCGTAGAATTTATATGGAAAATCATTTGAATAATTTGAACAATACTAAATATACACAATGTGTATGATATACACACAAATAGGTATATATATATATATATATATATATATGTATATATATATATATATATATATATAATAATTAGATTTTTTTGTTTCACGTTGAGATATATCTTGAATAATAATTTTCAGCCTGTCGTCGAAATGAAAGAAACAAATAAATAAAAATATTTATTTATAATATACGTTTTGACACGGATTGTATGTCATCATTTAGCAATTTTTTATTAACAGTATCACACCAGGAAAAAACATTTTTTCAATAAATATATATAGAAAAACCAATCATACATTACATATGTCTGTGTATATATATATATATATATATATATATATATATATATATATTAGGATGGTCCTCAATATGGACATTTTCGAATTTTCTTGCTCTCAGCGGCTCAAATGCTTTTATAAAACATATCAAATTTTTATCAATTTTTTGTTAATAATTAAAATTTGCAAATACAATATTATTCACTCAAAATTTTGATTCACTTGTTGCTAAATTACAAAATTCTAAAAAGCAAATGGAATTTTACCCATGTTTTTTATTTAAAGAAACTTTGGTCAGAGTGCTTTTGTATTAAAATATTGTATTATTATATATAATATAATATTATATATGAGTCAAGACATACATGTTTACATACTAGATTTGAAAGGAAAAAAAAGTTATATTAAAGGGGCATGTAGTTCTGATTGCGGTTCTTTATAAGAAAAAACTATTCCTCTGATGTTCTATCCTTGATTATATTTTTTTTAGAAATCAATTAGATGATTGCATAAAAGATTATATACAGATTACACCTAGATAATCCTTATTATAAAATTTCATATATACAAGTTCGTAAGATTATAAAATTGTGTCGAGGATAGCAGCATTTAATTAGATGATTTAATATATATATATATATATATATATATATATATATATATATATCAAATTATCAAATTTTACTCTTATAATTCAAAATATTTTAATAATCTTATATCTTATAAATTTTACCTTTTTTTTAAATCAAACTATTTTTATCATTTATAATTTAATCGTTTTCTAATTACATATATACTTATACATATACATATATTAATCTTACTCTTATGGAATTTTACTTTTATGAAATTTTATGGAATTTTACTCTTATAAAATCTTACTCTTACGAAATTTTATCTTTACTCTTATCAAATTTTACTCATATAATTCAAAATATTTTAAAAATCTTATATATTATAAATTTTACCTTGTTTTAATTCAAATAATTTTTTATCATTTATAATCTAATTGCTTTGTAATTATTATACAATTGTATTTAATTATCACATACTTTTACTCTTGTAAATTGGATAATAATTCAATCATTTATAATTCAATTTTCTTTGATTTTTAATTTAACATTTGTCATATGAACTTTCAATAGTATAATTGTGATATAAAATATAATTAGTTCTCGTTTTTGTATTAAATAAATGAATGATGGCAAGAAACAATGGAAGGCTATTTTAAAATTTAATTTTATACAAACCGAAACCGTTATAAAATATAATATTATTTATATTATTTATATTTATATATGTATGTTTGTGTGTGTGTGTACATGAATATAATTCAAAATTTCCCTCTCGATATAGAGATGAATAGATTGTGTGTTGGGAAGAAAAACAGACCTATAAAAGATTGAATGAAAAAAACACGAGGGAAAATGGCGAGGGCAAATTACCAATTATTTCAACATAATATACAGAAAATATGGAGAACATGAAAAATATGCCGACACAATTCCAATGTTAATAAAAAAAACATTTATATATATTTATATATATAAAAAATTTAATATATATATATATATATATATATATATATATATATATATATCTGTATATATACAAATATATTTGTACATTAGCACTGCATTAAAAACGTTATTGGCTGGGTGTATAAATGTATGTATATATAAATATTCGAGTCTGTGTATATATAAATATATAAATAATAGCATATATAAATAGTGTTGGCAGCCTGGTTTAGATATTAATCAATTTTTTGCTGGCCCAACGAACAAGAGAGGATTATACGCCTAGTTAGTTCCTTGCAAAAACATACTCATTTAGTC